CATTAGTATTGTTAATTTCTAGCACGGAAGTAGTTTTTATGGAATTCATTGAAAAGTGGCTTGATACGGAAAACTTAGCTTTTAGATTATCTTGCAAAATAATGGAAATCTGTACTTTTGAGTTTTTATTCAAATATCACTTCGAACATGCTTTTTACCTTCAAAAACAAAATAGTTCATATATTCGTCATAACACGAATTTTTTATTTTATTAAACTTTATAACAGAGATCTTTCTCCACGAAATAAAAAAAGTTATAAAAAGATGGAACGTTTGCTACATAAATAATTTCTATTGTGTAATAACAACAATTTTATTTATTAATATATTTATGATCTTCTTAGTTTTTAAAGTTTTATTTTATAGCTTTATTAACCAGCTTTAAGTGTGTTCTTAATTTACGTCTATTTTTAAGAGAATATATATATATATATATATATATATATATATATATATATATATATTATATATATATATATATATATATATATATATATATATATATATATATTATTACTCATTTTTATTGTATTCATTATTACTCATGTGTATTACTCATTTTTAAATAAAGAAAATTTAAAATCAAACATTTAAATAGTATCAATTAAACAAAAGTAGTTTAACAAATCGATTCATAATTTTGATTAAAAGATCTTAGAAAAGTATTTTAAAATATTTATTTTTTGAGTATTTATAAAAATATTCAGATTTATTTCTTTACTAACAGCATTTGTTCGTTTTAACTTTAAATTTGTTTTTTTCGGTTTTTTATTTGTTTTGAAAAGTTATACTACCAGGGCATCCCACAATCCTCTGTAAACAAATTACATGTTTTTACGCGAGTCGACAGCGCTTGATCTAAATATCATTTTTTCTAAAAGGAGACGATCTTTATTTTTGCTTTATTTTTTAAATGTTAAAATTTTAACTCAGGTCACTATCATCATGTCAAAATCTGGAGCACAAAAGCGCAAAGAAAAACTACAGACAGAGATAGAAGTTTCTGCAAAAAAGTGCAAGTTAATCAAATCATTTTTGTCAGTTCAACCATAATGTCAAGGCAATATTGAGTCGAATGTACAAATTACATCAGAGATAATTAAAGCACGAGGTGGTAAAGATCTTGAGTCAAATTTACAGAGTACATCAGGAATTATACAAGAAAATGGTAGTCAAGATATTGAATTTGAAGAGTACAAATTCAATATCTTGACTACCATTACCAGCAATAATACTAGCGCGAGGTGGTGGAGATATTGAATCACATTCGCAGAGTACATCTGCAATAATACAAGCACTAGGTAGTCGAGATCTTGAGTCAAATTTACAGAATACATCAGCAATAATACCAGCACGAGGTGGTGGAGATATTGAGTTTAATTCACAGAGTACATCAGCAATAATATAAGCACTAGGTAGTCGAGATCTTGAGTCAAATTTACAGATTACATCAGGAGTTATACAAGCAAAAGGTAGTCGAGATATTGAGTCGAGTTTGAAGAGTACATCAGCAATAACACAAGCTCGAGGTGGTGGAGATATTGAGTCGAATTCGCAGAGTACATCAGCATTTGAATATCCACCATGTTTGGAGTTAAAATGTTTTTTTAGCAAACGTCCAATTCAACCACATGAACATTTGCCGTTTGATAACAAGATCTACCATAGACAAACGGAATTGAAGGATAGCATACCGAGAAATTGATTGTCATTTAGCCAAAATTCTCAGTCTCTATTTTGCTCATTTTGTGTTGCATTTGAATCACCACAGTCTAACACAGTTTCATCATTTGTGTCTGGCTTCAAAGATTTTAGACGAGTTAGCCAACGGGTTGCAGAACACGAATCAAGCAGCACTCACCGCAGGCATGTTCTTGATTACATTCGTATAATGAACAATCAAGACTTTGACAGATTTTATAGTACAGCAATAAAGAAATATAATGATGAAGTACTGATACGGAAACAAATACTTTCTCGAGTTATTGATATCATTAAACATTTATGTAAGCAAACATTGCCATTTCGAGGTCATAGGAATGAAGGTGCTTATTCGTTGGACAATGATGAAGAAAATCATGGAAATTTTTTGGCTTTGGTACAGCTCTTGGCCAAATATGACCCACTTTTAGCTTCTCATCTCTCCATGTGTCAAGAGAAATCAACCAAAAGAATAGAAAAACTGAAGCGTCAAGGTAAAGCCGGCAGTAAAGGTCGCGGTGCTCTGGTTACGTTTTTAAGTAAGACTACTATATCAAAGCTTCTTAATATTATGAAAAATATGATGCAGGAACAGATTGCAATAGAAGTATCCAAAGCAAAAGTGTACTCCGTACAAGTTTATTCTACACAAGATATATCTGCAATTGACCAATTCAGCATTGTGGTTCGCTATGTTTTAAATGCTACTGTGCATGAACGGCTGCTTTCTATTGTACCAAGCAATGACGGTACTGGCCAAGGCTTGTTCGATCTCTTAAATTTGACGCTACAGCGGCTTGGCTTTAACTTGAAATACTGCCTATCGGACAGCACTGATGGTGCTTCAAGTTATCATGGCCAGTACAATGGACTGCAACAAAAGATTACAGAAGCTGCAGACCACCATGTACATACTTGGTGTTATGCTCATGTTCTCAACTTAGTTGTGAAGGAGGCAACCAGTTGCTGCATTCAGGCAGTTTCATTTTTTACCCTTTTGCAAAATGTTTCAACATTCATAAAAGTGTCATATAAGCGAATGGCAACATGGATTTAACTTGTTGAAACACAAATTGGAATAGATATGATGAAAAGATTGAAATTAATTGGTGAAACAAGGTGGTCGGGTAAATCAAATGCTGCAACAGCGATAATTGGAACATTTGCTGAGCCATCTTCAAGTGTTTGTCAATTTAATTTTATGTCTGTCATGTATAAGCGAATCAGAAAATTTTGATACAAAGACACGTCATGAAGCTAAGACATTGTTCATGCCATTCCTGAAATTTGACACTATTTTGACTGCCTTTACCTACCTGCGAGTTTTTGAAAAAGTGGGACCACTTTCAATATACCTGCAAACTCGTGGATTAAATGTGTTGGTTGCATTCAAGATGGTGGAGAAGGCCGTAATTGAATTGAAAAGTCAATCAAGACTTTTTGATGATGTTCATAATAACGCTCTTCAATTTGTACGGATGGCAAATGCAAGCATCATTCAGAGAACTGAAACCATATTAGAGGTAAAGATAGAACTACCAGCTAAACGGAAGCGGAAGACACCAACGGTGTTAGATGAACATACAGTAAACGAGCGTGACGAATCTAAAGCTTTGGAACACTACAAAATTCACACTTACAATGTGGTGATGGATCAGGTAGTCCAAAGTCTTGAGTCACGTTTCACTTCACACCGACAATTATATATGGACATGGCATGTTTTGATACATCAAACTTTGGTGATCTTGCCATTTCGGGAATTCCTGAAAACAGTTTACACAGCATTGTCAAATTTTTACCAGATGCCGACGTTGATAAAATAAAGGCCGAATTGTTATCAATTGTCACTAACTATGAGGTTTTGAAATTGTTCTTGCCCTTAACAACAACATTGATAGACAATGCATATCAAAAGGATGACATAGAAGAACCGCTCTGTTATCAGCATACAAATAGAGCATGCGGATCGTGTACATCTTGTGTGTTACGAATTCTTGCTGCATATAGACTCAACGATAAAACCTATGACAATTTGTATCATATTTATAAAATAATATGTCCTATTTCTGTAACACAAGCCGAATGTGAAAGATCGTTTTCTAAGTTTAAGTTAATCAAGACAAGATTGCGTAATTCTATGTCAAATGACCACTTAGAGTCGTATATGTTGATGTCTGTAAACAAAATCTACTTGATAGCCTTGAGTATGATACGATCATTCAAAGATATGCATCTTCGTCCTCTGAATTGAGCAAACTGTTTAAAGAATAGTTATTGCTATACTTTGCACTGTGCAAATTGCACATCACTTCTATTTTTTTAATTCAATATAATTTTATTAATCTGTGATTTAATTGCTCCTCTTTAGACTTATTTTTAGAGAGTTGCGGACCGGACAGTCTTTGCGATATATGTATGGCCGGGAGGGCCCTTTAATTATTTTCATGGCCGGTAATATAAATACAGCCAGTCCGCCACTGGCTAGAAAACTAGGAAAGCATAAACTAGTCAATCTTTAGTTGAGAAAACTGAATCTAGTTAATCTACTGTAGAGAATGTTTTCTTAGGTTGATATAAAAAGACAGTAAACAGTAGGATGTTTAGTTTTTAAATTTGATATCATTAATTGATCTATCAGTTAACTCGTTTTTGATTAGAAACCTTTTCACGCATTATAATTAATATCTGACACTTGTTTTTGTAATTCCACAAAATTGGGGTTTAAACATGTTTGATGTTCATCATAAGAGAAACAATTATTTAATTTGTTAAATTAGACATTGTTGCGAGAAACTGAATTAATAATTGATAAGTTATCTAAAGCATGCGATCGTTAAATTCGGAATAATAAACTCCGTTTCAAAACTTGTCACTAAAGCTTGGTTTCTTATAGTTGTAGAAATGTCGTACAACAGTTGTACAACAATAATGCTTTATAATGAAAACATTTTCTTGCGAAAGTTACACAACTTAACGTCGGTTGTACAACAAAATTTATGTTGTAAAACAAAGGTTGCGGAGATAGAATTAAACCTATTTCGGCAACAATTGTTGTACAACAAAAACGCACAACTGTTGCACAACATTTCTACAACTATTGGAAACCAAGCTTAACACATTAAAGTATTTTACAAGAACGACGGTAGTTTCACCATAAATTATCAGTTTGTTTTGTAAAAATACGAAGCAAAACAAGCATTTGTTTGTTTCAAAAAAAAAAAAAAAAAATGCTTGATTTTGAATTCTCGTTTAATCTTTTTGTGTAATGTTTATAAGCGTTTCATATAAAAAGTTGATCTAATTTGTAGTTAACTTATATCTTAAATATTAATATTAAAAAAATTAGGCGAATTGATAATTCAACTCTTTGTATCGCTTTGAGATTTAATTAATGCTTCAGCAAGTAGTCTATCTTCTTCCTCTTGAAAACTATCCGTTGATTCGTGAACTCTTTTTCTGTTTAATCGAGCACAATCTGGTAATTCTGATTCGTTTAAAAACCGAGTTTCTGTGTTTGTTGTTCCAATAATTAGAGCATTTTTCTTTAAATCGATGCAACACTTAAATCAAACGAATATATATATATATATATATATATATATATATATATATATATATATATATATATATATATATATATATATATAAATATATATATATATAAATATATATATATATATATATATATATATATATATATATATATATATATATATATATAAATATATATATATATAAATATATATATATATATATATATATATATATATATATATATATATATATATATATATATATATATATATATATATATATATATATATATATATATATATATATACAGTGTTGTGAATAAGTTAAGAACCACTAAAAAAAAAAAAAATATTTTCAAATAAAATTAATTAATTTTTCTTCTAAAGATAACAAAATAGTCTTTTTTTTCACACATATTAAATAGAACATGAGAAAAAAGAAAAAATTTCTTTTTTCGAAAACTAATTAATAGAACCTATAAAAATAAGGATTAAATATTATGTATTAATTTTTTTCAATATTTTTTTTGTGAAAAAGTTAAGAACCACAAGAAAACTTTTTCACAAGTGCTAAATTACGGTCGTTCAAACTCACTAAATAAACGACAAGTTATTGTACGCAAGCGCAGTTAGATAATAAAAATTTTAAGACTTTCAAGATGGCTTCGGGCCTTAGCTACAAAGTTAATTTTTAGTTGACGACCAATTTTTTTATTACTTACTGCGTTTTTTATCATTTTATACGAAAAAACCAGTCGTTTGGCTATCAGTAGTGTTTTGGTAATTTAGTTTTTACTTTCTAGTAAGAAAAATAAAAGGAGAACATTAATTTTTGAATGATGCAGTTTTACTTAGAAATTTTTTTTCTTCGATTTGTTTATAAATTTATAAGTGTTTTTTTTTTTTTTTTTGAGCGGTGAAACTTAAAACTTTTTATAATTTTGTTTATATGAATCTTATATCTATTTATTATTAATAAATAATCTTAGCACTTAATTTTTTTTCTTGTTCAAAATTTACATCAAAGATTTGTGATAAATTGACACCATTTTAGTTAATGAAAATTGTCCTTACGAAAGTTAACAAAGTTTTTATATTTTAATCTTAAACTAAGTCTTTTATTTTGTATGCAGTTTATTATTTTTTTGTTAATTTAATTTAGTTTTTGAATATTTCCACTATTTAATAGATAAAGTTAAAGCCGTTATTCAGTACACTTGTCCAAAAACTTGTCTTTTTCTTAGATGGATATCCATAACAAAAATTTGACTCTTCTTTGTAGGGTCTGTGGATTTTTGGTTGGTAAAAAAAGTTACCCTATTGGAACAAACCAAAAAAATAAAATTGAAAAGGTTTTCCATGTTATGCTATCAGATGAGCAAGAAAATAATCATCCAAATAAAATTTGCCATGTTATAATACCATTAACAATGTTATCAAAAGAATGACATCAACAACACTTCATTTAAGTATGAACTGGAAACCTCATTGTGATGAATGCTTTTGCTGTCAACAGGTAGAAAAACTCTGTAAAGGTCTAAATGTTGCAAAATTACTTAAACAAAATAAAAACTTATTGGTCGCCCTGGTATTGGTGAAAAAGTCTGGTCATTTTCGATGATTGCTAACATTAAAAAAAGCATTGTGACAACACATGACTCAGAAATAGATATTGAAGAATTAAAAAATGAATTTAATCCTCATTTACAACTTTGTCAGTGTAATTTATGTGGTAAAATACCAAAACAACCAGTAACTCTAAAAATATGCGAACACTTATTTTGTTTTTTCTGCATAGTGGAAAATATAAAAGTAAAAAAACTCAATGAAACATCATGTCCAAAATGTAAAGAGCTCATTTTACCTGAAGATTTAGTGACAAGTGTTAAAACAAATTCTCTTTTAAATATGTTAACTGTTGAGTGTATATGTAAAAAAAAATACAATGTAATGAAAGAATATGATTTATATACTAATCATAAGAGTGTCTGCATTGATAAATCAATAGTACAAGCAGCACCATTGTTATCACCATCAATATCTTCATTTGCTTCTAACTTGGCTTCATCATCATCTTTTACAGTATCAACATCATCATCATCAACATCTTATTTATTTAACAACAACATTTCTGAGATTTTCAATCTCACAGTGGATAATGATATTCCAAGAATAGTTGAAGATGCTGCACTCCATGTTCTTAAGCAAAAGATGGCTAAAGATGGTGGACAAGTAGTTGAGTTTAAAAGTGGAGGATCTAGAGTAATGATATTTTTTAATTTTAGCATAATTTGTTATAACTATAAATTAAATAGGTCTTACTTTTCAAAGATCTTTCTTTTTAGCCAGTTTTGTTTTCGCTTACTCCAAAAGCATATGTTAGCAGTAACCAAGCATCAAATACAACTATAAGAGTCAGAAATGATTCTACCAAAAGACACATGAAAGTTATTTCTGGTACATCCAATGATGCAGTTTGTTGCCAAACATCGAAGCTGATAAATTCATTTCAAGCAGAGACAAAGGGGTTAATATTAGATAAACTAAATACTGAAAGAGTAGTAATTAGTGCAACCAACATGGCAGCAATGAAAGCAGATCTGTGCATACCTTGGGAAAAGCTTAAAACAATATCCAAGTTTTTATTTTTTTATATGAATTTTATTATATACTAGTTTTTTGTTGCATGAAATATAACTTTTTATGTTTGTTTAAAGGTGGCTGAAGAGCTTTAATATAAATATAGCATCACATTCTTCACAAAGAATAGTTGCTGAAAAGTTATCTGGTGATGACCTAGTTGTAGAAAATGCACCATTTACCTTTGAAAAGGAAGAAAAAGGAACAATCGAAATAAAATATGTATCTTGGGGCTATATTGAAAATTTACCAATGCATATTTTAAGACGTCTTGATTAATTAGAAAGGTAGTTTTAAACCATCAATTAACAATTCTTTTAAAAGCATAATTTATAAAGCAAATTGAAATCTTTTGTGCTTATTTGTTATTATTTAAAATGAGGCCATTGTCTATAAAATCAGTTTATTATTTTATAATATATTCAATTACTTTATTACAATTAATTAAATGTATTGTTTTTATGTAGTTGTAAAAGACTTCATCACCATGAATTTACTCCTGAGAAAGAGATACAAATTAAAATAGGAGGTGATTATGGTGGAGGGAGTTTTAAAATGACATACCAGGTTGCAAATACCTTAAACCCAAATAGCAAAGACAACACCATAGTTTTTAGCATTTTCGAGGCAAAAGATTACAGAGTCAATGTCAAAGTAGCCATGTCAAGGTTTGAAAAGCAAATAGAAGATCTTCAAAAAATGAAGTATAAGTAAGTTAATAAAACTGTTTTTCTATTAACTGTTTTTTTTTTTATTTATGGCTGAATTTTTAAATATTTTAATTAGTTTTGATAATTTATTTTGGTAAACTATACTTTAATACAAATATAATACATTACAAATGTTATCTTAATTAAGTTTATGTTAAACATTTTAACACACCTCTACAGGGATAACAATATTAGAGTATTTGTTTTTGACAATTATCAGTTTCTATGTGCCCTCTATGGAATATCAGGAGCATCAGGTGATTTTCTATTTTTATTTTTATCTCTATAAATGACAAATTATCAGCAGTTTTATAGTTTTTACTACTTAAACAGAAATATATTAACTTCAAAAAAAAAAAAAAATGGTTGGCACTTTTTTGCTGAAAGAAAAACCACAATATTGTATATAATATTTACATAAAGTATTACAAATTATATATATATATATATATATATATATATATATATATATATATATATATATATATATATATATATATTTATATATATATATATATATTTATATATATATATATATTTATATATATATATATATATATATATATATATATATATATATATATATATATATATATATATATATATATATATATATATATATATATATGTATAAAATTAAAAGTTTTACAATACTAATAATAACCAAAAAACTAAATAATAATTATTATTATTTATAAGAAAATAAAATTTATGAAGATATTTAATTTTTTTATGATAAATAATTATTCTTCTATAATTTGTAATTATTTTTTATTGATTTTAATTTTAGGGAGGCATTGTTGTGAGCATAAAAGTTCTGAAATAAAAGATCGTACCTTAGAAGATCTGTTTTTGGACCATGAAAGATTTATAGAAAACGGAGGTTTAAAGAAAAATGCAAAAAATTTCAATAATGTCATCACAGAGCCAATTTTGAAAATACCACTAGATCAAGTAATGTTGTTTTTATTTGTCGTATTAATTTTGCAGTACGGCTAAATAAAAGTAGATTCATTATGCACTTTCAATATATATTTTTAGGTATCTTTACCTAGTCTCCATATGGCTCTTGGTATTTATTTGAATTTTTTTAATTTGTTTGAAGAAGAAGTCCATCAATTGGACATTTTGATTGCTGCAGAAGCAGTCAAAAGCAACATCAACTTTTCGGAAGAATATCCAGTTTTCGTATCAAAACAAAAACAACTGTTAAATCTTCAAACTGAAATTATTAACCTCGACAATCAAATTCAATCAATCAATGATTTTATTTTGTTAGCTGCTGTTAACAATTTAGATAATTTAGAAAATATTCAATCTCTATACTTTACAGAAATTGAGTTACTAATGGTGAAAAAGCAAAAAAGGTTAAACAATTTATTAGTTTAATTAATTTGATATTATGTTTTATTGATTTCATAATTTTTGTTTCATATTATTTTTATATTATTATGTGTAGTGAAATTTATTTAAAATAGAGTTTGTGTTTGTAATTGATTTGGTATGCATTAAACAGTTTTGCAAGCATTTGGTATGGTGCAATTTAATTGTAGAAAACAGCTTAATATAAGCATTATTAATAATAGCAATTTTGTAAACTGTTTATATGTGTGCACATATAAACAGTTTGCAAGCCAGGGTTTAAAAAAAACAGTGTTTTAAATGTCATCCCTGTCA